CTTAAGTTATTTACATTCTAAGTACGTAGGGTCAACATTCTCGACAATGATTCCAACCATTAGGCGCCATCGATTAGCTTTGTCTTTACATGGTATGGACCTTCCCAATTAGTTTTTCTTGGATAGAATTTTTCCCTCCGTTGTCAACTCTCTTGAGTACTGTAATGTTTAAAATTAACCTATGATCAATGAGTATGAAATTCCTCTGTAAGTATTATTGCACTATGAATTTCTTACAATTAAAGGTTGAGCTACCATGAATAGTAGCAAATACAAAGAGAAGAAATAATGAAAGTAGGGAAATATTGAGAGAGAGAAAACCAGAATCAGCCTTTCCATGCCCTCTTTCTTGTAATTAATATATTGGTTATATACCATCATGCTCTCACACGTAATACCTCCAACGTGAATTTGATATTCTATTTCTCTTACTTTTCTGCACGTCCACCTTCCATGAATTAGTTTCCACATGTCCCCTAGATGATGTGTCAGCTTCACTCACCTTGTCCTTTCCCTTAATTACCCTTCTCTCATCTGTAGACGCGACAATACCATCCCCTTGAACCACAACCTTGTCCTCAAGGTTGAAAGTTGGAAATGCCTCTGTCATAGCATTATGATCCTCCCAAGTAGCTTGTGAAACATCAATTCTTTGCCATTGAACTAAATGTTGTGTCACTTGCTTCGATCCCCGAAGTATCACACGAGTTTGTAAAATACTGGATGGCTGTCCAATGCGCTCCACAATTGGAAAAGGACCACAATTGGCAAACAATTTATGTTGTTGCAACAGGAGGAGGACCATTTCTAAGTGTTGTAAATGTGTAGACCGAGATGTACTATACACAAGGATATCATCAAAAAATACAAGCACAAACTTCCTCAACAACCCACTAAAGGCCTCATTCATCATGTTTTGCACCATAAACTCAATCTGTTGTTTCTGGCGGTGAGGATATCGGTAAGGTATCACTTTAACCGGTTTTATACCTGACTTCAGTGGAATGGAATGGTCTTGAGAGCGCCTAGGAGGTAATCTTGTTGTTACATCAAAAACATCCTTGTAAGTATGTAGCAATCTGGCTAATTCCGGCTCCATATCAGTTGGTAAATCTAACCACTGATCCTGTGGACAAGCAGGGTGTTGAAATTGCAGAGTAAACAACTCAGAAATGGCATGAGTGTTCTGCATCCTTCTGAGGTGATTAAATTGGGCAGGTCGAGGAAGCTGCGACCGTTCACCTTGTAAAGTAATAAATTTGTCACCCACATAAAATTTCAAGGTTAGATTGTTGTAATCTGAAACATGAGGGCTGAGTGTTGCTAACCAAGCTACTCCCAACACTAAATCAGTGCCAGAAACATTTAAAAGATACACGGGAAGCTTTAGCTGTTGTCCTTGAATTCGAACATCCAAGTCACGAACCAGCCTGCAGAGAATTTCCGTTACCAACTAAAACTTGGAATTGAGGAATTGGCTCAATAGGCAATTTCAATGAATGAGCAATCTGAGGTTGTAAGAAATTATCTGAGCTCCCACTATCAAGCAACACTTGCACTAAAAGGCCATTGATTGAACCTTGGAACTTCATGGTGCCTAAACCCGAGGAACCGTTCAAGGCATTGTAAGATAAGTGAGGTTGTTGCAAACTCAAAGTAGAATTAGCACCCAGTATATCAGGAGGTTCAGGTTCTGGCTCATTAATATCATCCTCTTCTAATTGTAAAAGAAGGTACTGCTTGTTGGGACATCTATGACTGGAAGAGAACTTCTCATCACATGTATAACACAATCCCTTCTCCCTTCTTAAATGCATCTCTGCAGGAGAAATCTTCTTAATCGTGTTAACGAGAGAACTTTGGTTTGGGGTGGGCAATAATGGTGGTAAACTAGTAGTTCGAAGGGTTTGGGATAAGGGTAGGCTAGTTTGGTATGGTTTGTGGTTAGGAATGTATTTTTCTTCATATAACTTGGCTAACGAAACAGATCGGATCAAAGTGGTAGGAGCCTATGCAATAACATCCCTCCTAATCTCAGGTTTTAAACCACCCACAAAGCAATCCAAAAGAGCATCAGTGGTAATTCCATGCACACGGTTCGCCAAAGAAGTGAACTGCACATAATAATCCTGCACTGACCCAGCCTGTGTCAATTTGAACAAATGTGACCTAGGACATTCATACGGTGAAGGACCAAATTCAATCTCCAAAGCTCTTGTAAGGTCAACCCATGAATGAAATGTATTGGTGCGAGTCATCATTTGATACCACGGAACAACGTCTTTTTCCAGGTGTATAGCAGCAATGGTAAGTCGTTGTGCATCAGGAGTGTTATAGTAATTAAAGAATTGCTCTGCTTTGAAAATCCATTGAAGCACATCAGTACCAACAAAACGCGGAAAATCCAATTTAACGTTTCGTACCTGGAACGGTTGAACCGAAGCACCACCGTTTGTTTCTCGTATTAGCTTTTGTTTCATCAATTCATCCACAGCAGATTCTAATGTCTCAAATCTAGTTGAATCCTCTTTATCGCGATTTTCCATCCATTCCAAAATGCGCTTCACATCAGAGGAGAGTTCTTTTAAGCGAGTATTTTCTGCCATGACAAAAATGAAAGCACCAATTTGTAATGTTTAAAATTAACTATGATCAATGAGTATGAAATTCCTCTGTAAGTATTATTGCACTATGAATTTCTTACAATGAAAGGTTGAGCTACCATGAATAGTAGCAGATACAGAGAAAAGAAATAATGAAAGTAGGGAAATATTGAGAGAGAGAAAACCATAATCAGCCTTTCCATGCCCTCTTTCTTGTAATTAATTGGCTATATACCATCATGCTCTCACACGTAATACCTCCAACGTGAATTTGATATTCTATTTCTCTTACTTTTCTGCACGTCCACCTTCCATGAATTAGTTGCCGCATGTCCCCTAGATGATGTGTCAGCTTCACTCTCCTTGTCCTTTCCCTTAATTACCCTTCTCTCATTTGTAGATGTGACAAGAACCTTGTTGCCATCATTGAATTCTTTTGCAACAACTTGTTATAACGATCAGTTAACTACCTCTTGAGTGCATCTTTTCTTATTGTGGCTATATCTCTTCTTTCTTCGATGATATCTAACTCCTTCCTATTCTTAAGGTTACTCATGTTATGATCTAGATCAAATACTCGTAATGATGGTTCTTTGATTTCTACTAAAATGACCACTTCTATTCCTAAGGTGAATCATAATGGAAATTCTCCAATTGTCAAGTAAGGTGTGGTTTTGCATGCTTACGAAGTTGCTTAACCCAACTTCCTTTTTTTAAAAAAAAAAATTTGAGATATCAATTTATTTTGCTATCATTGGGTGCAATTCCTTCTTTTAAGAAATTTACCATGAATATCATCCACATGACTTCTGAATTAATTGTTATTATGAAATTTGGGATAGAACGATAGATGACATTTATATATTGCTAATGAGAGTTTGGATAATATGTCAGTCTTGAAATTATAATATTTATTGTTATTAATATAATAAATCTAAATTTTATACTTAATTTTTTGCTAAAATTTTATTTGATTAAAATTACTTTTTAATTGGTTTAATGTACTTTCGAGTTAATTAAACTAATTATAACCAATTTTGATGGGGTGAGGCCCAAAAGGAAGACCTGCAAGCCTTCTTGACCAAAAGATAACCAATGAGCTGAGCCTACTTTATTTTGTTGCTTTTCATAATCAACAATGTTAATGAAAGAATCATTTGAACAAAATTAAAGCTTTGTTTGGTTATTCAATTAACCTAGCGTTTTAGCATTTTTCAATATAACCTTTGCTAGGTAATCTGACTTGCCTTTACCCTGTCTTGATAGGTAACCATTGCAACTTGACCAACTCAAATTGGGCTTATTTCGACAATAAGTGGCCCAAAATGTCTGGGCCATTTAGTTTTGTATTTTATTTTTAATATGTTTTAATGTCTTAACTAGCTAAATTATTTAGGATTCAATATGTATTTAATAATTATATGTCAAAATTTGGTGTACTCAATTAAGAATTTTTTTCACTTAAAAAAGTCTGATAATATTAAAAAGAACATAGAGATTTCAATGAATTATTTTGATAGTTAGATTTTTTAAAAAAAATTTTTAGTAAAATTTACATATATTCATTCATCCATTAATCTCATTAAATTCTTTAAGAGAAACAATAAATGCAAGTGAGAAAAAAAAATAAAATCAGGCGAAATCAGAATAAAAATTAACATTCTTCATTTATATAATGTGAAATATACATCGTATAACGAGAAGAATAGCATTACTTTTGTTAAATCAGATTTTTTTTTTAGATGAAGGATTTAAATAGTAAAATGAGAGGGATGAATAATATACATCTCGTTATTTTGTTGCTTCAGATCGTGTCACGCTCATGCGGTGACAATGAAATGTGTCTATTTATTATTTGTAAATAGAAAAGTAGAATGTTATCAAATTTCCTTTTGTTGTTTCATTTTGTTTTCAAAACTGGTAGCCCTAAAATTCACGTCCTTTCCACGACCTATGATGTCAAATCTAATTGAAATGATTCAGTTCTATGTTGTACAGGCCAGTCAGAAGGGGATCCTCTACAGCTTCATGTGACAATGATCAAAAGCCCAATTTATCTCTTCAACTCCACTATATTCCGATGTTGGAGGAATAGAATAGAACTAAAATTATGTTTAATTACATTTCAAAAGCTTATTTTATCAATTTAATAGAGTTTATTTTTAACTTTGTAAAAATTACTTTTCAAGCATGAATAAATTCTTCTAATTTTAACTTTCTTAAAATTTAATTCTAGCTAAATCTAAAACAGTGCATTGTGTTTGATGCCTGTGTTAAATATTTGGAAGAAAAGTATCTGCTGTCTATAAAAAAATAAATGGTGTATTGTACCAAAAGCAAAAGAAAATGCAAATTTAATCCAACATGTTCTTTACTTTGTTCCATTAACCAGTTAAGATGGACACAATAGAACAAGTCCAAAGCAGCAAACTTTACTAGGTGTTGGTCGAACAAACATCAACAATAACATCAACAATTTTCAAATCAAACATCTTAAATTTGTCCATGATCCACACAAATTAACATATTCAAAGGTGCAGAAGATAGAATCTGTCTAACAAAGTCATATGGTTGTACACTTCCACTCAACTTAGAGCTGAAGAGCTAAGTTGGGCATCTGATCATTGTCCCAACCTAGCTGTGAAGGAGCTCCTTCCGACTCGCCTATATAAGTTGCTGGTGGAGTGTACGGTGTCTGTTCTTGAGTTGCCTGCATTGTGCTATTGTTGAAGGTTGACAAATTCAATCCGGTTTGAAAGTTCGATGGCTGATATGAGGTGCCTAAACCATAAAATGTGTTAGAGTCATGAGATTTTGCCTTATTTGAAAATTGATTTTTGAATAATTTTAGATAGAGTTTTTGTTATTGTTCCATATATCTATCCTTTGCGTTCTGTTTTTAGTTAGCTAATGTATTAGTAATCTCAATAAATAATAAATCTGATGATAGAAGAGGTTTTTCTACAAAGCTCAAATAGGCATTTTATTTTATGAATCTTAATGGCAATTTTTCTTCTTCAATTTTCATCTCTTAATTTCTCTGGTCTGTTCCAATACTTTTTGATCGAGTCAATTCTTTAAAAAAATAAATTCCAGCAGAATTAAATGTTTGACATATTAGAAAATTTTGCGGTTAGTGAAGGCAAAATAATTGACTCTGAGAGGTTCCTACCTGGAATTGACTCTCCTTGCATTGGTTGATATATAGTAGAGGATCCAAAGGGATTCGGGTTAGACATAGAATCTGCTTGCCATTGCTGATGCTGATGCACATTAGAAAGCTCTGTAAGGTTATTACTAGGCATGTCATACATCGAGTCTATTGGCCTTGGATGAGACAGATCTGAGAGGTTAACAAAATCTTCTGGCTTCAGCTGATGTGCTGGAGATAGCAATGTGAGTTTATTGCTTGGCATGCAAGACATGAAGTTTTCTGCCCTTGATTGTGGCACAAGAGACAGATTTGAGTGCTTACTAAAATCTTCTGGCTGTGGCACAGGAGATATCCCTGTGAGGTTATTGCTTGGCATACCAGACATGCAATTTTCTGCCCTTGATGGACCAAAATGAGATAACTCTGGGAGGTTAATGTTAGGCGTGATATTTCTGGATATTGGCTGTGGCATCATAACTGATAACCTCGAGCGTCTGTTCCTGTTTCCGGATAATGTGGAATTATATGGCTTTGGCTGAGGCCCTGAGATCACACGTGTTGGATAAACACGGGCTAGCACATTGCTGGAGCTTCCTGTGCCTGACATGTTTGGTACACCAGTAGAGGTATTCCACAGTCTTGTGTTGCTGGTTTTGTTAACCCCTAACTGTAGTTGTTTAGCATGTTCATGAACAGGTCCAAGAAGAGAAGACACATTCTCAGGTGGGGAAACCATTTTGTCCTTAGAGAGGCCCAAAAAGCTCATGGTTCCTCTTTCATTAGAGCTCTCAATTCCACTAGAACTTCCCCCTTTGTCATTGTTAAAAAAGATGTTGCTCAAAAGAGAAGCAGCAAATGCATTCCAGCAGTCGTTTGTGTAGGTCTTGTTTCCCTGATAAGTATCATCCCTGATGTTAACACTGCCAGCATTAGTGGTGTTGACCATTCTGTTTTTTTGAACTGCAGAATCAGGAATAGTGAGTGGCCTATTGAGAAAGGGAAGGGCAAGAGCAAGTGTCTGAGCATTGAAAGTGTCGTCTTGTGGTGGTGTTTGTGGAGTTAGCTGGTGGATAATCTGAGTTCCCGAAACATTTTCAAGGAGGTTCTGGGTTGGAGTATCACTATTGCTAAGTTGCTGATCCTCAAGTGCTTCTAGTTTTTTGGCCGCAATCCTTTTAACCGTTGGCCCCAAATCCTCCACAAACCGCAGTAGACTTTCTTTGTATGGCATTGAATTTTTGTTCAACTGCAATACCAACACACATTATGCATGCTATTAGATTTTATAATCTGAAATCGGGATTCTTATTTCTTGGTACATGTACATGGAAGTAATATTAGTTGAAGACTTATGTGGATGGTGCATAAGGAACTAAGAATAAGATCCACTAGTTACTAGTTAGGATGTTTTATGTGAAAATGTGATCCCATATACTTGCTACTTTATCACATATCCTATGTATACACGCTCTTCCCAACTATTAATTATTATCAGAATTGTATGGTTTTTTGTAAGAACGACAGGACTTACTTGAACGATAGGCTTGCCAGCATGTAGGACTTTTGAAACCAGTGGCATACTTGGAGGCCAGTACGTGTCCCTCTTTGCTGTTTCAGGTACCATAACAGAACTTGAATTTTTTCTCCCTGTATTAAAAGAAAAATAAAATTAGTTCTCTTACACATTCAAACAAACAAACAATAGAGTGAGAGAATAAACTACAGGTTAAAATAGTTTTGATTCACTAATTATTCCATACCAGCAGGTTTAGAAGGAACCCTCCGGGAGGTTCTCTGCTGCTCATTTTGTGGCTTTCCACCTGAGCGTTTCTTGTTGAGGGCAAATTCCAATTCAATATGTTCAGGGTCAGCACTTAGAGCCTCAAAAATCCATTTAGCATTCCCACTAATATCTTCAGCCTAAAAGAAATTATGGTTGAACAAATATTATTCTAAATTTTATAGTGAACAAGCTTGAATAGCTTAAAGCTTTCTATTTTATTTGGTCTTACCACTTCGTGATATTTTGAGGTTTCGGGATAAATATTCTTTGCATTGGAGCATATAAGAAAGATATCACACTGCACAGCATTGAAATAGAATGAAACATCAGTTTGGCATTTAAGGAAAGGGTTTCACAACTAGACTGGTTGTAGTCAATTCAAGTACAATGTGTAAGTGGTGATGGTGAGATGAGGAGCAAAAAAAAAAAAATAATACATATACTTGTCAAAATAATTAAAACTCATGTGAAAAACATAACAATTGCAATCGACAGAAATTATAATTTAAATTGAATGCGGAGTAAAATGGTGAGTCAAAAGAATTTTTTTCTTCAATAAAATGTACTTATTTAGTTAACACAAGTGCAATGTTTTTTCATTTTGTCCCAGACCCTCTGAAGTTATTTTAGATCTTAATTAATGTGAAAAGAAGGTAAAATTATCGTAACACCTATTTGTTTTCATTCACAATTGTGCTTATGAAACATTGACTCGACAATGTTATTAATGGAAGAGAAAATGAAGGGAAGATCACATTGATGTTTCTGAAGGTTTGTAATACTTCTTAGCCTCTTGTACTATTGTTTTTTTAGATATTATACATTTGTATCCCTTTTATGTATTTTTATGTATACTTTATGAACTTTCTTGAGATACAAGACTCATGTTCTTTCAATGCTAACAGCAACTCTTCTAATAGGGGTACAGTGTAACATGTTTTGTTTTTAGTAACAAGGTTATCATTGTAATGTATAGGAGGTGTAAATGTAAATGTACTTAAAAGTACAACAATTGAGGTAAGTGAAAAGGTAAAAAAAAAAAAAAAAAA